TTTTTCGAACGAATTTGACAATATTAGGTATATCTATTGTATAAATTACAAGAAAATATAGTGACCGCCGCCGCATTCGCAGGTGTTTTATTGAATATAATTAATTAATATACACATAATGGGTATTTATAGATACGTATCAACCATATGAGTAATAATGCGAGGGGAAAAATCCAATGAGCTTTCCATATACGTCAAAACTCATGTATACATAATGCGTCGCAGAGAACGAATGTTTAATAATATGTTTCAATTTAAAAATTCGGCAACAAGGTAAAATTGTTGTGTTTTTTTTTTCGCTGAGTAGATAGGTAGGAATACCTCGATAAAATGTATATTTTTATGAAGGTATATATATTATTAAAACCCCGACGAAAAATATTGTTTTTTTTTTTTTTTTGTTATTTTACAACGTTAATGAATATTAAGTATAGATATGGAAATGAAAAATAGTGGGTTGACTTTTTTATTTATTGTGTAGAGATATTTTTTTGAAGGGTGTTTGTCTTGTATGTGGCGAAAAAAAATCACCCTCCTCCGTGTGGTACATATATTGTGTAGCTATATATACTTTTGGTTTTGGCGTGAAAAACACAGGTTATATACGGTTTATTTTTTCTACATATATTATACACACTTTGAGGGGGATAAACCACGATTTTTATCATGCGCACCCTAATGACTGGTAATGGAGCTAATATGTTTGAACGAATTCCACGCGATTGGGGGAAGTTGTTTAGTTATAGTCGAAGAGTGTCTAAATTCTTGTAAACTTTGATACAACATTCAGTTTAACGTGCTTGTTATACCTACATATACGATAGATTAACTTCTCGAAACAAACACCAATACCACTATCATATTTAAATTGAATTTGTATATAACACATATTGTTAATTGTTATACGTAAAATTTATATTTTATTTATCTATTTATATAATATTTGTGTTTGTGTATACCTATGAAAAAAATATTTATTTTTTTAATATTATATATAAAGGGTTTTTCAATACGTACAATGTACGTACATTTTTTTTAAAAATAATATTTTATAAACTATCTATATTTGCATTTTGCATTGTGTGTATATTCAATGTTGTTATCTTGTAAAACAGCCGCTGTAAAAATTATCGAGGGCCGGAAGCACTCTTATTAGCATATTACGACCCTGCGGCTATATTATACTCCCGGCGTACGTATATACGTAAAAGTTATATATTACATAATAGACCGAATACGAATAATTTTTTCCGTTCTTTTAGTCATAAGTGTAGTTACACCTAATTTGTCAAAACGAGCATGTATATACAGACTACACGTATAATATATTATATGTACGAATAGTTATAGTTAACATTAACAGTAGGTACATTATTATTTTTAATAAATGCGCGAATAGAAACAATGCGAGGAATTCAGAAAATGTTTTCAATGTTATGATGCCGATGGATGGATCCGGTACGTTATAATTATTAATAATAACTTATAACGCGGTACAAATAATTATCAAAACAATAAACATGTATATTTTAAAGAAATCTAATTAAAAATAAAAATGTCAGAATAGAATTAGGTATATTTAAAAATATTAACTAAGAATAATATTATACAGATATTTATATAGAAAAAAAGTAATAAAAATGATAATAATTCTTATTATGTATATGAAAAAAACAATTAGGTAGATTATAGTAGATACCTATTATATATATATATATAAGTATATATAACGTAATAATTATATACGGACAATGCGTGGACTGACGAAATCGTTCGAGACAGACATCCGTCGTTGTCGAATCGATGAGAACTTAATAATAATAATGACGATGATGATAATGATGATGATGATGATGATGATGATGATTATAATATAATATTCTATGGCGTTGCCCGTTGTCGAGGAGCGGTCGCGAACGTATTATTATTATTGCGAGGACGCCGCCGCCGGGTGGTGTATGGCCGGCGGAGTTGAGGAGAGGGCGGGTATACGGTTTCTAGACGTCCAAATATCACGGCGCACACATCATTCTATTACAGTATTATATATTATGTATATATTATCATATACCGATTAAGGTATTTCTCTCTCTCTCTCTCTATCTCTCTCTCTTTATACATTTATAATATATATATATAGTATTATATTATAGACGTTCGTATTATACTATATATTATAACGTATAGGTATGGGTACTGGCGGTACTGCAATGTACGATATGTGTATATTTTAAAGCACACCGCCGCAGTACATATAATATATATATATAAATGTTTAGATATAATATGTAATATGTATGGATAGGTATTATTATTACATTATAGTTCACGATCGACCGGTGATGCAGGCGGCAGAGGTGGTGGGCGTGACTGCGGGTGACTGTCGGAAAAGAGAAACAAAAAACGAAAAACGAAAAATGAAAAAAAGAAAAAACAATATAAAACTCGACAACAAAGACGGCGGGATAGAGAAATACGGAATGGAAACCGAACCCGACGCGTTTTTATATAGTGTGTATACGTACCTATGTCTACCTACACATAATATGGTATATTATACGTCACATTGCAGCACATACGGGTTTTTATGCACAAACGTGCGTGCGTGTGATAGCAACAGCAGTCGTCATATATACGTAATAATAATAATAATAATAATAATAATAATGTTTTAATAATATATAATATGTACTTTATTGTCGTGTTTGTATACGAGACGCGACTCTACGCAAACAAACGGCGTCGGCGGTGGCGTTGCAGTGTATAATATTATATCGTGGCGAGCAAAAAGAACGAGAAGAGAATAAAAAAAAAAAAAGTAAAAGAAATAAAACGCCGCCGCCTTGCACACACACGCACACACACACTCACGACGATCTATCGACGGGGCCGGTCCAATGGCGCGTGATACGGTCCAATAGTTCCACCTACTTTAAGACACCTCCCACCGGGCTCTTTATATTATATATATATATATATATAATAAACAGAAGGTCGATTTATTGTTATTTTTATTCATGTATATTGTTCAATATTTTCTTTTCGCCGTGCCGTTGTCCGTCGTTTTTATATGTATATAACATATTAATATACCTACTATTGTGTATGCGTTGTTCGGACGTCCCTCCACGCACCGCGTACATGCGATGATGTGTATCATAAATATATATATATATATATATATATATATATATATTATGTACATGCTCGATTGATATATTATTACCCCGGCGGCGGGGATATAGGTGGAGTCGATATTTTCGTAGCCATTTTCCAAACGCAGTTATATATATTGTACACCGTGTAGGTAAATAATATTATATATTTATATATATTGAGTACCCGCTGCAGCACGTGATACATTTTATTGTTATATGATATATATATATAATAAAATATTTCAGTGAACACTGCTGCAGGTAAATAATGTTTTATTTTATAATAATAATTATATATATAGGTACCTACGCGTAAGTAGCGTGGTAAACTTAAGTCTGTAAGTCTAAACACGGGCACTTGCCCGGAGCTTTTTTAAAAGAAAAATTAAGAAGTGATGAGATGTCTATCATGTAATATTATTTGTATATATATTACATAATTATAAGCTTTATAAATAGGCTATATTGAGTGTAAATATTTATTGTATGTTTCGTTTATATTTTATTCGATATGATAAAACTGATAAAATATATATATAAAATAAACATTTTACTTTTTACTATGATATGATAACAATTCCACTCATTACGTCTTTGCAACGTATACCGTATAGTTAAAATTTATTGTGAAATATAACATATTAATATTATAATTATTAAACTTTAATAGTATATTAGTATCACATATAGTCTATTACATTATGGGATAAAATACTTTTAAAAATTCGGTAGGTTTAACATCTATATTCTATATTTTAACGCATTTATAAGATTTCAGGTTATGGATATAAATAGATACTAATTTATATATTATAAATTATAATGCTCTATGACTATAGGTATTTCAAGTTTCTATTCCTAGTGCGCGTTATCATCATCCGCATGTCCCTACAAATAATATTGTACCATGATTTTATAACTATAACGCTCGAGATAAAAAATATTTATAACTTAATTTTCAAAGTTGATCAAATCAACTGTGAAAAAAATAAATAAAATTAGTTATTGAAGCAAAGTTATCATGAGAAATTTTTATTTTGAATACAACTACAGTAAAGTTATATGAATTATGACAATAAAAAGATTTAATGTCGAAATGCGTTCGATTATAATCTGCTCTAAAGTTTTGTATGGCAGTTACACAGCGTTTTCAGGCGAAAATATAGACATCAATATAACATCATGATATAACCTATATATTTCAGGCAGCATTCAAACAACATCATTACACATGGTACAACTTTAGTCAATATAATATATTAGGTATTATAATTTGTATATGCATATACATTGTTATGTGTATAATAATGGCAGGAAATGGCATAAATATAGTCTTATTAAAATTGTTTTATTTTAATCCTACGGTATGTAGGAATAATATGTGCGCAACCGGATTTGATCGATTCCGTGACATAAGTGGATATAATAAAATGTAATAAACGACGAGGAAGTCGTCTAGCAAATTGACCCGCGAACCATCGCGTGGACCATTATTTTCAATCACGTTCAATACTTAGAACCGCGCTGTGTGTTGTATTATATTAGATATATATATATATATATCACGATGCTAAAAGATTATATTACTATATTTTTATTATTATGAATGCCGTTATTACAATATTATACGGTCGACATGTATATATAACATTTATACGTATACGTATATTATTTATAAAGACCGGATACCAATGATTTTCTTTGGACTTCTGTTACTGCATAGTTAAAGAATGGAATTTGAATAATAATTTAAATCTACTTATAATACTATGTGGTGTACCTATTATGTTATACAGTTTTTGTTTACAATTTTTTTTACTATTATCTTTTGACTTTTTTCAGAGAGCTACTTTGGCAGAAAAAGAAGTGACTGCCCTGAAGGAAAAGTTGACCAACAACAAAGCACAAGACACGAACGTCATGACCATGGCCACGCCTCTGAGTAATCATGTCGAATCCACCGAGGATCAAAACAAGACACCTGCCGAACTTGAACTTTCGGCCAAAGAAAAAGAGGTAAAAATTTTTGAAAGAAATAACACAAAATACAATATTATTAAGCGAGTGGCTTGTTCTATTTTTTACATAATCATTTTAATATATATAGCATATACGATAATATTTTATCTATGTATATTATAAGCCTACTCATAGTGTCATAATAATAAATATATGTTTTTAAGTACATACGGTGACGGTTTATTACTTTGAATTACGCGCGAGCGTTTATTGCACTCAATAAAATGTATATATGATAATAAGTAATAACGTATACAATAGACGACTTCCGGCATTTGCTCTCTTCGTGCCGTTTTTTTTTTTTTTTTTATAATAATATTCAAACACTTCTTATTCAAATATTTGCCTGCCACCGTCGCACCGGATGATGTGTCTTACATATTATAATCTCGTATTTTATCACCTTTCAAACACCTCTATTTTTATTATGATTATTATTATTATTTATAATTCTTTTTATTATATTATTATTTTTAAACGAATAAAGGTAACTCCCGGAAATTCCTTAGCAGCAGCCGTTCTGTTGTTATTATATTATAATATATTATTCTTGAGTCCTATACATCTCCATATTTTATAATATAAATGCGCAATAAATAAAATATTATTTCTACGAATCAAAATACAATCGAGCGTTTGTGTACATGCTACACACAACGACAGAATTTCTAACGCGAGTGTGTGTATGTGTGTGTTTGTAGTTTGTATACTTATTTATGTCTTATATAATAAATATATAGACCAATGGCGCCATTGAATCGGAAACAAGGTGCTCGGTGGTCTTGCAAGAGGGGTATAGTTATAGTATGGCATGGTTGTGTAGGAACAAGAGTTGGTGTGTGTGCATACGAACGGGGAAAAAGGTAATGGTATAAATTTTCCACTTCTATCACGCAATTTCCTTCCGTTTCACGTCCAATCACGCTATTACGTCGGACGCATAATAAGTCTTGTGTGGGTGTAATATACCGAGAACTTTGGGATTGATTTTATTACATCTGCATTTTCAACGTGTATATACAATATTGTGTTATATATTATTATTGTGTGTATATATTATATCGTCGTCGTCGTTGCCGCCGCCGCCAGGGTCTGATATGATCGGGCGAGGCCCTTAAAAATCGAACCAGCTCGACCGGCACGACATGCACACACTGCAAACTATATTATAATATACGATCGTGAACGTTATATATAAATATATATACATATATATATATTTGTGTGTGTGTGTGTAGAGGTACATAATAAATAAGTATAGTAAAACGACAATATATATATATATATATTTACACACGCGCATAATATGTATAATAAACGCGTGGTGGCGGCGGCAGTGATGAGGTCACGAAAATGCGAAGGACCGAATTCGTAGACATAGCGAGCGCGGGGCAACGAATATATATCCCCCACCCACCCACCACCTACGCTGGAGGCGATTGTGCGCTATTAATGGCCGCAGACACAACGTGCGCAATTTAGTGTTTTAATAGTGTGCGTATATATATATATACGTAGGTATATTTTACATGTATATATATACATATATAGGTACATACCAACCGATCGTTTTATTACGTGAGTGCATTCTTCAGTCTTTTCATCGGTTGAAAATAGTATGTATACATATAATTAATATTATTATGTGATATATTAATGATAATAATGATATCATCCGCATAATAATACACTTTGGCGAATCATAGCTGTATAAATTGTAAATGAATATCATATATAATATTATATACCTAACAACTGATAGCACGCTTTCATATCATTCATGTCTCTTGGATATAATTTATATACATATAGACAGAGTATTGGAATATTTAATAATATAATTCTATAATTACATAGCGTTTGACGATTATTTTCAATCGCAATCGATATATCTATACGTCTTAATGTACGTCCTACTCAATGGCGTAATATTTTTTGTAACGTTGTTTATCAATTGACAACATAAAAATATTGTAAAGACACATTAAAGATATTTCATAATATTGACTAAAATTCCACATTATGTAGCATATTATTATTTATAATACACAGTTGTTTGCGAATCAAAGAGTGGAAATGGAATGCTGAAAGAAACCTTTTCACTTAATATTTAAATGTTATGCGTTTATTTTTTAAGTGTTTAAATGCTCAAAGGGTTTTACGTGTGCGGCCAAATTAGTTAAACGACTTCCCCACCGCCGCACCATCCACTACAGGTGCGGGTGTTGCTATCGTCTCACGTTGTTGTCACCGTCCATGCCGCATGCCGTACTACAGCCACCCGCGACCCACTCCTCGACATGGTTGTTTTCCTATGTACATTATTCTATTTAAATATATTCAGTCGACCGACGATGTCCCTAATTATTATTTAAGATGCACAATACTCACTGTATTTAATATACCTGTTTATAGATAATATTATAAGGAAATTATAAATTGTTCTAACAACTCACAACAAAATAAAAACAAAAATTTAAAAAATTTAAACTCGCGTCACAGGTTATCGTCTATTCCGAATTATTATTGCTGAATTTAATTTATTTGAACAACAATTTTAGTTTTATCGAGAGACGCTAGATAATATATATATTACTATTATATACAAAAGTATAATTTTGAAACTTTGAAAGGAATTTGCAGCTGTTTGATACAACACGATTAGCTTCGTTAATCAGGTTTAATTTCACTACTAAAGTTAAGGCCATCAACTGATGTTAAATTAATTACAAGATGGTGATTTAACACCAGTTGATGGTAAATTTATAAGCGTTTGAACAGCGTTGCTATCCCTTTTATATCATAAGTATTATTCATGCGTTATTCTTTCAAAGTAAAATATATAATATTGTACATACAACAAATATAGATATATATTGGAAACGTGTATTACACGAACCCAATTCATCCAATTGGAATCAATTTTGACGTTAATCGCATAATTATATTACACAAAAGTTAAACTCTTAAAAAATCGTACATTATGCTTTATATAATTTATTTTTTATGTTGTGTTGTATCAAATACCATCACCGGCCTAATAGTCTATACACACAAAGGTATACACACACACACAGACACACTCAATATATATATATAAACAAATACTCGTATAATTTATTAATTCAATAGTCCAGTACACACACAACAAAATGACTATATACAATCCCCGCAGTTGCCTTCTCCGTTTATAAGCAAATCCGTCCGTGTCTATACTTTTGGTTTCTCTACCTTTCTTCGCTAACGTTCACTCTACAATGCATACACACACGCTCGCGATCGCAAACATGTATAAACGCACATATGACGAGTGGTCGCCGAAGGGTAGAAAATGAGGGTTGATAGATGGGCACATAACGTGGTATAACGGCGTATTATATCTGTATATATATAAATATATATATTATATGAGTTCGGAACTTCGCATCCTCTCGTCCGTTGTACCCAGTGTTCGGGCGCACATACACACGCTCACACACTAACTACCCGCGTTTCTCGTCCCCTCTCTCACATGCGAAAGGGGTAACTCCCACCTACGGGCAACTATTAAAACAATAGACGATTGACGCGGCCATCTTGATTTGAAGATATATCTCCGGGGTTCGGCATCTCATTCCCACACACACACACACGTGGCCCGCACTTTAAAACGGGATTGAATTATTGATCAGCTCTTCCACCCTCACCCGATCATACCCCGCGACCATTTCCCACCCTCTTCTGCTCTGTGTCGGTGTCTTGCGCGCCCCATATATATATACGTGATACGATATATAGACGTGGCTTCTAATTATGAAATTTCATATTTCATATCCACCCCCTACACCCTCACATCCTAGAGGCTCAACCGTCCGTCGTCGTCATCTCCGCTCGCGCACATACACACTGCCCGCACCCTCTCGCATACTCACTCTTTTCGTCTCATTCGCTGCCAACGTTCATCCGTTCGATCCCCCGAGATACGAAGTCCGTCAAAACCTCACCCTCGTAACGATTGTAAACTCGGTCATTTATATATGTATATGTGTACCACTCTCCTCCGTCGTATCATCTTTTCTGATGCACAATGTAAATTATGCGCTGAAACCGATATTTGCCACTAATTTCAATATGCTGTCCACCGTGTATTAAAACATATTATGGCCGAATACACCGATATTTTTTTTACGTTTTAAAGTTTGAAGACGGCGACGGATAATTAGTCAAGAATGACATTAAACTATACCAAGTGAAATGTTATACTATTCGTATGATAACATTAGACTCAGATTACTGAATAACGATGTTATCGTGTATTGCTGTTTTACTTAAATAATACTCTATGTTAATTTCAAAATTTACGCGTATTTTTCGATTGTAAAAAAAAAATACGTATTAATAGTTATAAGAATAATAACAATAGTTATATCAAAATAGAAGAAAAAGTTTCGTATGTACGTATAAATAAAGAAACGTGTAGATACTTCCCGCCGAGTCGGAAGTTATAATACATTTCAACGACTACCTATAAAGAAGTTCGTACTTCGCTATTGTTGGTCTCGAAAACTTTCGGTGAGCGTGTATTTCGGCGAAGAATTATTTTCTCTTTTGTGCAGATAATTTGCGTAAAACGATATAATATATGTATTATACCATTAAAACAACCGCGTTTATTGCAATAATTAGGTATATTGTGCGCCAAATGCCGAACGTATGATCCTATTCAGACCTATTGATAATATATTTTGCTGAATGTGCTGACTATACACCGCACGGTATGCCGTACCTATAAACATATCATTATATTATATACGTAAATGTCTGTATAATATTTTTATATTAAAAAAATTATCTTATTAACTCCTATACAAGTAAATGTATAATACGTGTAATGAGATAAACGTATGCGACGGATTTATTATAAATTATTCCGACGCAAACTCTATTTAAATATATATACGTGTTTAACAATACATATAAGTACCTATAAGAAAATTTTATCTAAATCTACTGTTGGA